GCATTTATTAACATGCATTGGCAGTTCTTTTGATAACATTAGTAAAAAAGACTTTAATCAAGTTAGTTGGCAACACCTGGAAAATACACAAATGGCTATTTGAAAGAATATGGAGGTTTTCTGGAAGGCTTAGTTACAGAATGTAATATGGCTTTGAAGTGTCAATAAGTACATAGAGCTATTAAAGTAACAGAATTGCTATTTAAAGAAAAAGAAAATGGGTGAATTTCAGGAAGCCCTTAGTGAACTGTCTCTTACATCAACCTCTTCTTCCATCCTCCTTCTTATAAAGTGTTAGGCAGTGAATGTTCCTAATTAATCACATCTCCTAAAACTACATGCTTATCTTTGTCTCCTAATGCTTCTTAGTTTCTCTAGAGCTTTTAGAAGTGTGGGGCTGTCTTGCATATTCAAATTAAGACCTAGAAGAGAAGTGAAGCCTGCTGACAAAGTGGTTCCAAAAGTCTGAACTGTGGTGTAGTTCCTCTGTTGTGTAGTGTGTTCAGGATGATACTGCTTAGGAGAGAACACGTGTTTATGAATATGTGTAAGTTGCTAATAACATTATATATGCCATATATACCAAACATCCAGTTGCATTATGGAATGAGTCAAAAGTAGAAACAAGCTTCAAATACATAGAATAAACTTTTCTTCAGACTATTTGCTTTGTTTCATTTCCTAAACATAAAGTGTAAATAAACATTGCAGCCTTTTAAACTGCTTTTTGTTTAACATACTTCTCTTGCTATTTGAGCATGCAGCTGGATAATTTTCTTCAATAGAAAAGACTAGAAGAACTGTAACAATTGAGAGTGATGGATGTTGTCTGTACTACTGTACAATAGCTTCCTTTCTGAGGTTATCAGAACACCATGCTTTTTTCCCATTTTTGTAGTCTGTATGACAGCATTTCAGATGTTTTAAGTGCTTTGACCTCAGTTGTCTGAAAAAAGTTCTCTTCTCTTGCATATCTAAATCACTTGTCCATGAGTGAAAATTGGGGGTTAATGGCATGCAAGAGATTTTTGATGTGTACTGCTTTCAGGTTCCCCCTAGTGTCCTAGTATGGATGTTGTAATTTTAAGCTGAGCTATCGTTCAGTTTTCCTTTAATGGGGGAGCTTCCTTTTGGCACAGTTGTTCTGTCCCACTGAGAAAAGGGCATCTTACCCTTTCTATGAGTTCCTGTCAATGTACAGGGACCTCAGACAACATAAATAGCTTTTAGTAGACAGTTGACCTGGTTATAAATATTTTAAAATAATCATTTATTTGTCCCATTTTGCTTGAATGATTTTGCTTTATATGCTTTTTTTTTAAAATAATGCTTCTGTTAATGTTGATTTTGATAATCAACGTTGGTTCAAATTGAAAACACAGATGCTTTTGGAAACCTCAGTTTTTGAGGAAGTCTGTAAGAGGTGGCTATATCAGATATGAATTATTGCTTCTATTTAAATGAATTAAATATCAGACAGAAGCTCTGAAGTTGGTGCTAAGATAAGCAAAAGCTATGATGTCGTGCTGCCCCAAATATCAAAGTGTATTCAAATGTTAATAAAAAGGTACCACTTTCTGCCAAAGTTGAATGCCTTATTGTAATTCAGAGACAGTCTCATTTGATTAAGGTTAGAGTGCAGTAGAAGCCAGTTTGATTGTTTGTTTTGTACATGGGAGATCTTTACAACATGCTGTTGGTGACACTTTTCCAACCTAGTTTACAGGCAGTTGATTTTCTTCTGTAGAGTCAGTCCTGTGAATTAATGTAAGAATAAAAGCAAATAATTTGGTGGATAGGTTAATTTCTTTCTATGTGTCCAGACTTAGGTGAAGTAACACTGAAAAAAGGGATGGATATGCTTATAATATGCATATGATCTAGACAAATGAGAAACTTTATCATTAGAAACATGGGTAGTTGCCTAGAGGACAAGTATATTCAAATTTTTCCTATTTAAATATTTCTTAACCTGTTGTTTTTGGTGGTAGGTGAGAAAGTTTCAATATTGTTGCTCTTAGTTGTTGTTTCCTCATATATCTTGTGTTTATTTTTTCAAGCTCTCTTCTGTATCAATTTGAGGTAGAACACAGTCTTTTGGAATCATGGAATGGTGAAAGCTTGGTTTAATTGCTAAAAACCTTCAAGTAAAGATGTTCTTCACCCCCAGAAAAACGCAGTTGAACATTTAAAGTTGTATTAATGCATACGTAATTAAGATATCTGATTGCAGAAATTTACTTGATATGATAACACGTCCCCAGGGCTGTAAGCTGTGTTGTTCTTATTTTATGTCACAGTAAAAGCAATTATTGTATTCTGTGTAGATGGCTTCTCTATAGATTTGATAATATCAGAAAGAAATACTTATTCTCAAGACTTAGTTTCTAAATAGTTAGAAAGATAATGCCATTTTTTTTTCTTTTTTTTCCCTTATCTAACATTGAAGAAAATTCATTTGGTTGCCAGGTACGGTTGCCATTGTCTAGATCAACTCTTGCATTTTTTTCAGCATTTAAAATTTCCCTGCTAGCTGTAAAACCCTGAATTACAAATGTTAAGGTAAAGTTCTTGTAGCTATTGGATGTAGCATATTTGATTCATATTGCTGGAAGGTCTTTTGCTTAGGTGTCCAATCTGGATGATGTATTTTATGTATTTGTCTTAATGTTTGGTTTACTGTGTATTTGACTTGGTATTTTATTTTTCTATCTGTTAAAAGTATCAGTGTTGTTTGTAAGGACATCTTAAAGGTGTTGAATCTCTTTTCAAGTTCAGGCAGAGAATGCAGGCGGGGACTTTGTGTCTAGGGCCATGACTTTTATTTATGGATGCCAGCCTAGGAGTTCCTAGGGCTAGTCAGAATTGCTGTAGTTGCATCTCATGGAGCATGGCTGGTGTAAGTTTACTCTGCAAGTTCAAATTTGCCTTACAAGAAAATCATGGCAGTAGAATTTTTATGGGTAGACTTTATGCAAGGCTGCATAATTGTCTCTCTTCCAGAAGTCATTGTGAAAGCCAAAAGACTAAGTTCTTTGTTGTGCATGCTCCAATTTCACTTAAAATCAATCTTTAACTTGTATTTGTGCTACTAGATGGCAGTGTACAGATTAAGGTGCATGGAAGTGTAGTCTATGGCTTTATTAGGAAGCTAGGTAACTTCTAATGCTTATTTTAAAGTAATTAAAAATGCATTTTCACAGAGCACCCTTTTTAGTAGTTTTTGACTGGTTAGAACTCCCATGGAAATGATGTTAAAATTCTCTAAAGCAGAGAATTCTAAGTGTTAAACAAATCAAGAGCAACTAATTTGCCTTCCATGTGTTGGATGTGGTCAACTTTTCTCAAGTTGTAAATTTACAATAAGAGTCCTACAGCATTTTTTTTTTCTCTTTACAAGAAAAGTATGTGGGCCTTTCTTAAAAATACTGTATTGTAGATTGTCCTCTACATAGTTATTCACAAAATGAAAAAATAATAAAATATTACAAACAATATCAGTAGTTTGTCCTTGAGACAAAGCATGAAGTAGCTAGAGTTAGGTTTTCTTTTTTTGGCTAATTTTTAGATCTCTGTCTCGGTTTCCCTTTGCATTTTGTGAACTGAACTTTCTTGTAAAATTAGTGTCATATGCGATGGCATACATGAATCAGTTGTGTCAGAATCAACACCTTACTTTTAAACTGACTTCTCCCAGAACCTCCTAGTCAGACATAGTGAAAACATTACACTTCTTAGTACATCAGAAAATCAGCTACTTGCTTTCTTTGAACAGAAACTAAAGGAGCTCAGCTGCATAGCTTTACATGATGTTAGGCAGGGCAAATAAGGAACAAAGTGGATCCCCTTTTAAATGTCCCTTTAGTGGCCCTTCTAAAGCCAATCCCTTTAGATTGGCTCCTAGAAGTTTCAAGACCTGTCTTCTCTTATAAAGGTTATTTTAGACTTTTCAGATATATAAGGTACTCTGTTGTACTTGAGAATTGCAAGAGCAAAGTGGAAGAAATTTTGGCAAGAAAGTACACATCTTAAGATACGGCTTCATGGTAAGGGTGAGCTGGACTAACTAGATCCTGATCTCCGCAGGGGAGGTGTCATTCTCACTTTGTCCTGTCTCCTATCCCATAAGCTGATTAAACTTGCGAAGCTGGAAAAAAACCCAAACAAAAACATCAAAAAACACCCAACAAACTGAAACAGAACTTGACAGTGTTACCTTTCTGAAATGAATATTAAGATACATGTTTACTTATAATCAGAATTACAGAATCATAAAATGGTTTGGGTTGGAAGGCACCATCATCTAGTTCAAGACCCCCCTGGCATGGCGTGGACAGGAACACGTTCAACTAGACCAGGTTGCTCAGAGCTCCATCCAACCTGGTCTTGAACACCTCAGGAATGGGGCACCCACAGCTTCCCTGGGCAGCTTGTTCCAGTGCCTCACCACCCTCACAGTAAAGAATTATTCCAGATATCTAATCTAAACCTACTCTCAGTTTGAAGCCATTCCCCTCTTCTAGTCACTAGATGCTCTTATAAATAGTCTCTCTCCATCTTTCTTGTAGGCTCCCTTCAGGTACTGGAAGGCTGCAATTAGGTCGTCCTGAAGCCTTCTCTTTTCCAGGCTGAACAATCAGTTTTCTGAGCCTTTCCTCATAGGAGAGTTGCTCCATCCCTCTCATCATCTTGGTGGCCCTCCTTTGGACTCTCTTCAACAGGTCAATGTCGTTCCTGTGCTGGGGACCCAGAGCCAGATGCAGCATTGCAGGTGGGGTCTCACAAGAGCAGAGTAGAGGGACAGAATCACATCCCTAAAAGGACCAACTTGCATTGGCCGGGAATCGAACCCGGGCCTCCCGCATGGCAGGCGAGAATTCTACCACTGAACCACCAATGCTAGTGATATTATTATTATTATTATTATTATTATTATTATTATTATTATTATTATTATTATTATTTCACCTCATTTTACACCTTGTCTTTATTTAAAAAAATTTGAATAAAACAAAAACTTTTATGCCACAAAAGCCAAGGCACTAGCAATTTCTTGGATCTTCCCATCTGTTCTTCTACTGAAGAACTTTGCTTTCACAATTACAGGTTGCTTGGGTACCTTCCCCTTGCTCAGGACTTTGTGTGTGCAGCATCAATGGCTGCAACCAGCCCAGCCTTGTTTTTTATGTAATTGAGCCTTTTCTGTTTGGTTACAAGTGTCTACTCTCTGCAAATTGAAAGTAGCACAGAACTTTTGGTTTCTTTTCAAGTAATAGTGTGTCATGCTACTTTTCTGAAGTAGACAGGATGATATTTGTCAAAGTTCAAGGCTTGCTGATACACTGGTGACTAGCTGACATTCAACATGTCACAGTGGTAATAGGCTAACTGGTATGCCTGATAAAAGTAGAGTTCAGATACCTTGAAGTTACTCAGCATAACTTGGGAGATGTAATTTGTGGAATTTTTTTTTTACATTTTATTAAAATAATCTGCAGATAACAGCACCTGAATATTCTGTATGTTACAGCACTTAGCAAGTTAAAAATTTATGATGAATTTCTGCCCTACTTCAGATTGCAGTGGTCATTAGCAGACCTGGAGCTTTACTTCCATTCTTCCTGCCTTCTTTTTAAAAAGAAATGTCGTGGGCCAGCAGATTGCTGATTCCTCCTACTGTATCAGTTTCCTGCTACTAATGTTGGAAACACTGCCTTACGCTCCCATTATAGCTTGCTGAGTTTTGATCTGTAGGTAGTCATTTTTGTTCACTCTAAGAGTAAACATGTCAGTAAGTTATTTAGAGATACTTGATTTGACTGGGATGCAGTTATATGAATGGAGAACTTGAGACACAGGGAAAGCTGAAGGTGAAGAGTTAAGGCTTGAATTCATGTGAATTGGTGAGATTCATGGTCTTTCACTTTCCTATGGAGAGAAAGACATGTATGTAAATATTCAAAAATTGCAGCATTCATTGAAAGAATTTTTTTATTTATTAGCTGCTGGTAGTTGGTGGTCTTGTCAGGGAACTGTTCTTTGTGGGTGTAGCTTGGTTTGGTTGTATTTGAAGAATCTGCCCTAAGTGAATAATTGGATGGTTTTACTTTTTAAAAATTTTTTTTCTCTTTTCCTTTTCTATTTTCCTCTTCAGTTTGCTGTCAGGAAAAAGCTTTCTTGTGCCTGTACTTCAAATAATGTCAATACAAACAAGATAAAATTATCTACCCCTTATTATGCTATTTCATATCTGGACTCATCAGCTGTTTGCTTCTATGCCATCTGTTCTAGAAAATTAATCTAGAGGATGAATGTTTAGTATTTGGACATTAACCTGTTGGAGCGAGTCTGGAGGTGGGCCACAAAATTGATCAGAGGGATGGAGCAACTCTCCTATGAGGAAAGGCTGAGAGAACTGGATTGTTCAGCCTGGAAAAGAGAAGGCTTCAAGGTGACCTAATTGCGGCCTTCCATTGCCTGAAAGGAGCCTACAAGAAAGATGGAGAGAGGCTATTTACAAGGGCATGTAGTGACAGGATGAGGGGAATGGCTTAAAGCTGAAAGAGAGTAGGTTTAGATTAGATACTTGGAATAATTCTTTACTGTGAGGGTGATGAGGCACTGGAACAAGTTGCCCAGGGAACAGATTACCCCAGCCCTGGAGATGTTCAAGGCCAGGTTGGATGGAGCTCTGAGCAACCTGGTGTAGTTGAAGGTGTTCGTGTCCACACCAGGGGGTTGGAATTAGATGAGCTTCAAGGCCCCCCTCCAACCCAAACCATTCTATGATTCAACATACTTATACAAGTGATTGTAAAGCATTTAAACATGTGGCAAGTGATGAGGAATATGTTGTAAAGTGAGCAGGTTTGAATTTAGGAAATTATCCTCATCCTTCTGTGTGTGTGTCCATACCACATGCCCCCCCTCGCCCAAAAAAAAAAAAAGAAAACCAAAGAGTAAAAACCCAACCCCCTCAAACTCCCAAACTCCCAAATCACCCATCCCCCCTAGCCTAGCTCACTACCATATATGTGTGCTGACCTCATGCTCATACATTTTGGAGTGAAATTCTGGGAGGGTTCTGTTTGAAGATGGTCACTTTCATCCCTCTCTGCTGAGGGATGTTTTTGAGTCCAGGAATAAGTACTCAAAAGCTTTACACACATCTCTCATGGTTCTGCTTCATCAGTGTATGCAGATCAGGGCTGTGGGGTGATTAATGAAGTAGTACATAGTACAGTAGAAAGCATAGTAATCTCACTGGTAATGAGGATTCAGATTATAAATTTCAGTGATATCCTCTCTAGAGAGTAAGTTCTCAGCTGTCCAAACGATGTGTAATTGTATAATTCCAGGAGGGCTTAAGCTAGTGATCTTGCCTCATTCATGCTTGTTCTCAGCATCCTGGTGGCTCCTGTCAGCTCTCCTGCAATGTGCTGCGAAACTCAAGAGTCCACTACTGCGACAACACACCAGAGAATATCTGCATAGAATACATCTTTTTTTTTTGTACTCTTTCCTTTTTTTTTTTTTTTTTGGAAACACCCAGTTCCACGTGTATGTGCTGATACAAACTGAGGCAAGCTTGAAGTGTGCTATGAAGATGTATGCCTTGGCAACTAGCTATTATGTGGAAATTTTTTTCTGAAAAATACTTGAAGGCAGTCAGACTTTTGGATTTTATGGCTAGTTTTAATTCATTAAATGATGAGCCACTGTCTGCAAAAGTCTCTGTGTTCCCTTGCTGAAGTAATAACATCTCCTTGGAGGTATACCTTAGATTTAATTTCTTTGTAATAAGATACTCCTAGGAAGCTGTTCTTCTTAATATGAGTTAGTAGGTTCCCATTTAATAAGAAGCAGAACAAAACCATCCTGTGCTGGTTTAAAGGTAAACCAGCAGGGGAAATGAACCCAACTCAAAAGAGAGATCATAAGTCAGAATAACAATTTATTAAAATAATACAATAAGTACGATTATACAGACAAACAATTGGTTTTAACCCACAAAACCCAAATGCATAACCCAGCACCCTGGGGCATGAACAGAGTGGTGTTCTTTGGGCCCCTTGAGTCCAAAGTAAAAGGAGAGGGGAAAACCTGTTGGTGAGAGTGCTGTTGCAGTCTGGTCAAGGGTGGTGATTGCAGTGTGGTTGAGAGCGGTGATCTGCAGTCTTCCTCTGGATCCCACGAGTGGTTCCAAAAGTTCCAAGACTCCGAGATATATTCTCCAGTTCAGGCAGGAATGCTCAGTACTTCCCTCAGGGTTGGGGGGTTCCTCAATGGGCGTGAGGACAAGAACACCCTCCTATCTCGCAGGCCTCTTAACACCCAGTTATTGCCTGAGGAGTCAGGCTCTATGGGCAGATGGTGTAAGTGGTTCATTGATAACGGTTTCTGGGAAATGGCATGGAAGGCTATAGAATGCACAGTTTTGGGTTACACCCATACAATGATGAACTGGTCCCAGCTGTTCTAACTAGGACACATCCATAGTGGTATTTCACATACTAACATTAGAGTGCGTCATACAACTTGCCCCTGCATCATCTTAATTCCCTGGCACCTTGCCTCTCTCCTGACTCCCCCATGACCTGGGCCAGACTTGCCCCCTCCAAAATAAAGCCTCATTTAGAAGTATTGTCTTGCTGTCTCATAAGTATTTCTTGGTTTTTATATTCTTTTCTAAAGAGAGGTGCTTTGAGTTTGTTAAATTCTGCCCTTTCAGATGCATGAAGAAAGGCAGCAGTAAACCTTTGTTGTTTTTTTGGGGCTGCAGTATTGGAAAAGATGGTCATAGTATCATAGAATATCTTGAGTTGGAGGGGACCCATTGAGGTCATCAAGTCCAACTCCGTACTCTAATTTGTTCATACAAGGAAGGATTGAGTTTGGAGTATGGGTGCAATTGGATTATTGAGTTTGGATTATGGGTGCAATTCGTAACACCCCAATCCTCACCCCCCAAAACAGAATTTTAAAATATCAATAGAAACCTCATACTAGGTCTGCCATTTTACAGGGCCACATGTATGGGTGTGTCAGTATGGCCTCTTTGCAAGCAAAGAAGCATTCAGTCTCCTTGCGCTCATATCTGGCTCTGTCCGATAGCAACTGGGCTGGAGCTCATGTGGTAAATTCTGCTGAGAGCTCAGTCCTGCTTACTGCAGCTGCTTTAAATGTCCTGCCATTTCAGAATGGCATATCAGCTCTGCCTGCTAGATACTCTGCAGACCCTGCAGTAAGGCGGTTCACTGCCACTTCATGATGGACTGGGATCATAGTTCTATATCGCTTGTGAAAAGATGAAAAGATCTAGGAACTCAAAAGAATATTTTTTTTTGATAAGAGATACTCTTTTGGATCTGTCTTTCAAAAATGTGATTTTATAGACTGAGATAAGATCAAATAAGTGTAGCTTGAAGGGGTATAAAAGTGAAAATTAAGAAGGATATATTGATAAAGAAAGTGTATGTTTCCTGATAGCTACTTATGTTTCTTTTTATTTAAAAAAAAAAAAAGTCCTCATAGACTTCACAGAGATTCTTTTGCAGCATAAAGCATATGGTTAAAATATTGCTGCAGCACAAATAGTTCTGCTGAGTTCTCAGAGTGTTGTCACTGAACATGTTCAAGGATGTGATAATTTTGAATATATTTGCCTACAGTTTGTTTTAGAATACTTCTGTAGTTAAACATGTTAAGACAGTTGCAGTTTGAAGTTGCTGTGTTGTTCTCCATTTAATGCAAAGCTTTTTCCTGATATTTATTCTTAGGGAAGAGCAGATGTTTATCCACAAAGTGTTTTGGTATAGGACTTAAAAGACAAAACCTTCCATCTGTTTGAAAAAAAACACGTTTATATTTTGGAGTGTTGGATTTTTCAGCTTGGCTCTTCGTGAACATGTTCTTTGCTTTCTGCTTTTTAGAAAACGAATACAGCTTCTGAGTGTTTTTTTCTTGTTTGTTCCAAAATTGAGTGACTGTTAACTAGGAATTGGTTGACTACAACCTGTAAAGAGATTTCAGTAAACTGCTTCAGAGAGGTGGGATTTTTTTGTAAGTTTCCAAAAAAAGCAAGTATTCTTTCCCAAACTTATAAAAAGAATAATAAAAAAAAAAAATCAAACCTGTGATTCCCACCCCACTTATTCTGTCCCAAAGGAATAGGCAGCCTCTTTCCCCATCATACACCCACCCTCAACCTAAACAAACCATCTTTTTGAACTTGTAGCAACTGAATTACTTCTAGTATGGATTTATGCTAAGAAACAGTGCATTAAAATATGGGAGAGTCAGAACACCAGGACACAATTCAGCAGAGCTGTTTCACTATTCATCTGTGCAGGTGAAGAACTGTATGTATCTGTGCTCTGCATCAGGAAAAGAACAGGTTTGTTTTAGGATGCACAGTTGAGAAGAGAGCACTAAGAGTTAGGGTATCTGATATTTTTGTTTGACTTTGTGCTTCCTGTATGAATCATTTAGTTTATGGTCATTTACGTATGGCAGCAGAGAGACCTTCAAGAGCTTGGAAGTGAAAAGATGCATACATATTTTAGAGTGAACATATATTTCCAGAGTGGAAACGAACTACTTTTAAACTCTTGTCAGCACTATCTGAGAATACTTTTTGTAGTCTATGAATTATTGAAGTATTACTCTAGTCCAGAATTTTCTGGACTGAGAAAGACAGTGAGAGGAACTGAATGTGGCCTTCTATTTCTCTGCAGCTAGGTGATAAATACAGTCTTCACAGTTGCACAATGTGGCTGGTGGTATTTGCACCAAGTTTATGAACAGTATGTTACTTGTTTTATTTTGTCCAAGTTGTTTGTTTGTTGGCATGGCACCAGTCCAGCTTCATTACTAGAGTTCTCCTCATACAAGAAGTAGGAATGAAAGAAGAAAAAACAAGGAAGGCCAGTGGCATGTCATAAAGGTTAAGTTATGGGTAAAACCTTAAAGAGCTGGTTTTCCCATCATTTTATGATGGGACAAGGAGATTAAGGTATGTGACTGATGAAGAGGGAAAGAGCGAACTGAAGCTCTGAATTTGATCTGCTGGAGCAAAGGTTGCGTTTTTCTAAGGTTGGCTTAAGTGAGGAAAAAGTACTGCTACTCACATCGTACCTGGAACAGAGAGCCATCTTACTCAGGCAGCAGACATGAGGTTAATTGCAGCTAACAGCAAAGCTTTTTTACCTCTTCAACAGGAAAAAAAATAAATGAGGAGTTCTCTTTTTAGGAAGCCCTGGTTTATTTTGTCAAACAAGAATATATGGCTTGTGTAAAAAAAACCACCTGCTTTATAATGGATATTCAGTGAAAGGTTGATAATTGCAGCAATAAACACACTTAGCAGATGTTCGACTTCTGGGTTGTTCTGTTCTGGGACCTGAGGTACAAATGTGTTTTCATTTTGTAGTGCTAATGAAGTCTTGGATCAGAGCAAAAATATTATCTTGGAGCTGTTCTTAGCAGCTGCTGATACAGAAAATGTTAAGTCTGGAACTCTGTTTCAGTTCCTTTTTTGGTATTCTCTGAGCTGGAATTGAAGGCACGCCGTCTTGCCCATTCTGCTGCTGTGCGACCCTGCAGTAGCTGTAATCAGTGGCCTGGGAGATGAGAGACTGGAGCGGGAGCGATTGGCTGGAGAGCAATTTCCCGGAGTACATCTGTGTCAAGCAGAGCGAGCTAAAGCAGTCATGTATGCGCAGGCTCTGATCTCTTGGGAGGTTCATTACAGGGTCTCGTACAAGGGCATTCTCCGCTTCTGCACATCAGCATGGAAGAAGCTCGTCAAGGGAAGAAAATGCAACCTGTATGTAAATAGCAGCTGTATTACTTAATAATGGCTCAAACGTGCTTTGGTGCAAGTGATATGTAACAGCTGTGTCTCAGAATGGTGTGCTACCTTAGACTCACCAGTTGTGGAAGAAATTTTTGAAAGATCTGGTGATAGAAATAATACTTTGAGTACAGCTTTCTGTATTAGGGAAGATATTTGCTCTGTTGTTGAAATTGCTTAATCATAGTAACCAGCTTAATTCAGAAAGAAAATATACTTTTACAATTGTGAGAGCATACTACCAGATTTTGAGAGTGTTTGAGTGTTTTGTGTTGGGTTATTTTTTATTTTTCTTTTGCATTATTTTGAGTCAGCCTTTTTTAATTTGGAGGTTATCAGCTGTGGCTTTGAGTGATTCTATGCAAGTATAGCAGGGATGTTTCTGGTAGTGAATCTTGAAATAATCTATTGATTGTTCTTTTTTGACCAAAAAAAAAAAAGGGAACTTAATGAGCTATGTAACTGAGGTAAAATGATCATGGAGATAGCATTTTCTTCAGACCTTAGTGGCACAGATAAAAAACTCCATTTGTGGGGATTTGTATAATGAAGCAGTGAATTCTAATATTAGTATTACAAGCTATTGCTTAGCACTTGTATGGGTTGTTGTTACCACTGCCATGTAACTGCAATGCAGTGTTGTAACAGGGTTTACTACTTTAAGAGTTTCCTGGAAACTAAAACTTAGGGAATGGAATTTTCCTAAGCTGTAAAGCTTTACAGATTCCTGAATTATTTTATATAAATTTTATAAAACGACAAGTAAATTTTCTATTTCCTTGTGTGAGCATAAGATGTAAGAGTTTGATTTAGACATGTTAAAATGCATCAGATTGCAGTGGCCTTTTGTTTGTAAGGGTCTCTGTAGAACAGTGATCGATTTTTGATTTTCATTGTGATGCTACTTTTGGCTCTGGACACAGCACTCTATCAAGCATGCATATGCCTAGAAGACTAGGTAATGATACGAGGTGGCTTGTTATAAGGATTCTGGTACTTCTGCTTTTTTTAACTGTAATTTCAGAAATTTAAGTGAATGGAGATGTGGATTTTTTTTGAATGAAATTTAGTCCTGTGAGGCAGTGATAAAAAGCAACTTTGTAAAATAGCTACTATAATATTAGATATGCAGTTTGATATCTTGTGTTGGATTGGTGACATTATTTGCTAAGATTATGCAAATAAATAATTTTAAATTAATTGGTAAATTAATGGTAAATTTTCTGGCTTGCAGAACACTCACATTGACTTCAAATGGGCTTCTAATTTTAATCAAGTATTTACTTGTGTTTTAGTCATACTTTGCTAGGAAATATGCCATCCTTTTTTCTTGTGTTTGTTCTAACCCAGGTTATTTTATGAATTGCTGTGGTGTGTCATAGTTGACAGCCATTCACAATTGTGACCAGTCTCTTGGTGTTATGCTTCCTTTTCTTTCTGACTTTTTCTCCCAGTTTCATGTTCTGGTGTGATTAACACAGACACTTTGTTTACTGTTCAGAGATGTGTTTGATTTGTCTGGGATGGGACATGGCTTCTCTTGCAGGTTGTGGTGCTCAGTGTCACCCTGGCTGGAGTAACACCTGCTAGAAGTATTGAGATAAAACTACTTATAAACATTAGATTTCAGTGGTATGAGAAGCAAAACATTAACATGTTTAGAGTCATTTTTCCTGAAAGGGTTTGGGTTTTGTGGTGTTTTTAAAGTAGCACATATACATATCTTTACTGCCATCCACATAGAGTTTTGGAAAGTAAAAGTAAAATGCAACTTGTGGAGAGTCTGACTGAAGTCTGTTTATGTCTATTGGACATACTTGTCCAAACAAGGTTTGTATAGCTGCTGTGTTTCTTGTAAGTCTCCTAGAAGCAGATTGGTCAGATGTATTTAGTAGGGTAAGCTGAGCAGCTAATTAGAGGATTAGTAGGCTAGAAAAACTTGTCTAAGTATTTCTAACCTCTTTCGTTATGGCTGTGGTCTTGCTGAAATCTAAATGTTAAACCTTCAGGCGAGGCTCTGAGTTGCCTTGATTAGGATGGATCTTCATTTACATGTGAGGATTATTGTATACAGTAGTAATTGTACAACCACAGATAAAATTCACAAGAAAAGGGGGTGTGTGCGTGTGTGGTGACACTAAAGCCATAGAGCTGTACTAGAGTCTTTACTGTAGTGCTTGAGCAATACACTGTGCTAAGATAGTAGCGAAAAAAAATCTGGAAAGCAGCTGCTCCTGTGCAAATGAGACCATAGAAAATACAACTAAGGGGGAACCCATCAATACGGTATGCTTCCTATTTTAAACCTGGCAAGTGTTCCGTTTGTGAATTATTATTAATTGTGCTCTCATCCGTATATATTTAGAGGGCAAGGCCAGCTAAAAATTGTGCTGTGACAAAATGAGGCAGGGCTCATTTATATTTGGTGCATTTTCCCTTGGCTGTTAGGTTGATGTGCTTGATTTAGAACTGGTAGTGTTTCATCACTCTGGCAACTTCTGTAGATACAGTATTGCTGTGTAGAGGCTGTGCCCAAAGAACTTACTTCAAATGCATCTATAGGACTATTTAATGGACTGGGCAATACCTTCACTTACTGTTATTTAGAAAGAACTTTAATTTTTCATATCCTGGCTGTCCTTAAAGGAGGCAACAACCAGAGATGCCTGCCCTCCTTCCCACCGTGGGCTCATCTTACTTCTGGTTTAAAAGCAGACTCAGTTTGAAAGAAGTAAAACAATATATTTAGAACTAACCAAGTGCTGCTATTAGTCGTTCCTGCAGGTAAACCATGTCAAAAAGCCCTTTCTAATTTATTCGCTCTTAACTAAGGCTGCTCGGTGCTGTGTATGAGTAGCAGTGGGAGAGCTGTAGGGTAGACCTGATGATTGTCTGAGGTAGAATGATTGTCATTGAACTCTTCATACAGTAATCAAAGATGGTCTTATCAAATATATTTTTCTGGTTTCTTTTGTTATCACTTTCAGGGTTGCTGTCACTGGTAGACTTATCTCCTAATTTTGTAGGATTAGAACACTGGTCTTGTCTGTTCCCCCCCTCCCTTCTTCTCCCCTTCCCGAACTATTAGTGGTTATTAACTTGCAGTTCTGGGAGGTTGCGTGGATAAAGAGGAGTCTGTTTGTGCATTCTATATATTTGAAATGTATTTTATTTCCGAACTACATGGAGTATTATGTGTGCTTAGAACAGAAATGGAGGCTTCTGAAACAGACTGCTTTGGAAATGTGGCTGTGAAAATGAATCATGAATTGCCTTGCTGGTTCTTAATTATTCTGAACAATATATTTCAATAGCTATGTAACAAAACAAATGAGTTAGTCTATCTATCTATCTATGAAAATTGTCAGTTTTAAAATATTTTTTATATATACATCCACATAACCTGGATACAGTTGCAAACTGAGGTTTTGTAGTTCCTCCTTGGTTGTCTTTGAGATGTATGGTCAAAATGAAGGGTTTCTTTTTCGTTGGTTCTTGAGCTAAACCTTTATTTTTGAAGCAGAGCAATATTGGAAGTATTCTGTTATTTAATTTTTTTGTTTGATTTGATCACTGGAGCCTTCCTTG